GGCCACTGCGTAAGTGCGTCCAAGATCGATGGCATAAAGGGCTGATGCGGGTTGGAAAGCATGCATTTCGCGTAGGAAGGAAAACCATTCTAGCATGTTCCTGATTTCGGTCTCCAACAAGCTTCTGATCCGGGACACCTCCTCATGCAATCCTCCTGGGCGAACCAAGGGATAGATTGCATCGACGTCCACTCTCCCATACTTCGCCAACAATTGAAACCCATGAAAAACCGCATGACCGTAGGCAAGGCAAATTTGATCACAAACGTCATCTTCTGCCGCATTTTGAATCTTGCCAAGCATGAGGATTACGTCCTTTGTGGAATACTCTTTGGTCCGCATTGCCGATCCAATAATCCTTCCCGCCCTGCGCAAGGAGTTGATGAAGTGATTCCACTCCGCAAGCTTGGGTCGTAGTTGTTCAAAAGCATTGGGATATGTGGATGGATCCTCGGGACGACATCGAACTCGTGTTCTTGATGCTTCCTTGGACGATGTACCAGCATGTCTCACGGCATGACTCAAGGATTGGGTTGCTAAGCAATCCTTTTGAAATCACTTGGTGACGATCCAACCAAGCCCTCAGCGTGGTTGTTCTCGGCGGTCCTACAGTAGGGTCCCGGATGACCTCACCCATTCGATTCCAGAAAAGCTTCGTCCATGCTAGGTCGAAGCCATCCATCCTCGCAACCTCCATGTTGAGCATGCATTCGGAGATTTGGATCCTCCTTCGAGGTTAGTGAACTGATTCGAACTCGTCGACCCAATCCTCGGCATCAATACACCTGCCAGGCACAATGCACTCCCCCAAACATCTATGTTGGTGATTAAGGAATTCCAAGTGCACATCGCCATAGACGTCAAGTTGAGACTCAGGCTTATGGTCGCTCCATGGAGCCTCACAGGCGTCAATGGCTTCGACTGAATCATCAAGTTCACAACTGATGAGCACATTGTCCCAAAAGAAAGATTCCATCATACCAAGGATGGATTGCTGGTCAGCAAATTTACCCCCCGGCCCCAGACGGGGGAAGGTCAAAGCGACTAATGACGCCTGTGTTGGGGCGACGCCGACAAATGGCGCGCTTAAACGACAGCAAGCCGTCTTCTTCTTGAACGGGACGGGAGCAGTAACCTGCCACAATCGGGACGCGGCGGCGGGCTTCGGAGAGTGGAGTTGGAAGACACTTCTTTCCACGTAATCAGGGATAAGACGGGGATGCGATTTATCAGAGGGATTGATGTGATTTCCACTCTGTTCCATTTACGCCATTTTAGGAACCAGGAAGAATGCTTGAGTCCAGGCTCGCCTGTCCGCATTATCTTAGGTTCCTTGATCACGAGAAAGCGTCTCCTCACGATCATGCCAACCTGGCTTACCCGAACCCCTGGGGCATAGAGCTCAGGGGGAAGCATAGGGGTCTGTGTGTGAGGAAAATACGGTACACCCTCCTCAGAAATAGCAGGGAACATTCCAAATAGGATAAGATGATTGGTTGGGTTGGTGATGATATGTCATCCCTGCACTTGGCGTTGTACGCGGATGCGGATTTCGGTGGATGTGTGGAATCCTTACGGTCTACTTCTGGTGCCCACCTTAATCTACAAGGTCCTCATACTCGCTTTCCCCTTGCCGGTTTGAGTAAACGACAAGGATGTGTGAGTCACAGTGCCCCGGAGGCAGAAATCGTTTCTGCGGACATGGCTGTTCGCACGATAGGCTTACCTGCCACGGATATTTGGGATATCTTATGCTCTGATGGCTTTTGCTTGTGTGAAGACAACCAAGCCATGATCTCAGTGGTTAGGAGCGACCGGAACCCAACCATGTGATACCTTGAGAGGACTCACGGTGTGTCAATTGCCTGGTTGCATGAGCTGTTCCAGGCTGATCATATTGCCTTGGTCCACGAGATCACTGGCAAGATGGCAACCGATATCTATACAAACGGGTATGATGATGGAAGAAAATGGAAATCTGTTGCGTCACTGATCAATATAGTGACCCCTGAGTTTCTGCGGTCTCCACAAGCCCTTGCGTTGTCTCGGCCCACAAATGACTTTTCGTGTAAGGGACTCAATAAAAGCCGATTGTTCGTCGTCCTTGAAAACCGGGGCCTTTCACCAGGATGAAGAGGAAGGCGCCGACCTCTTCCACCACGCAGCTTCTTGTTTAGTGCAGGGCCTGATGCCCTCGGACATGGTAGCGGGATTGCGCATCGGCCGCATGGTTGCCCTCACCAAGCCGTTTGGCGGCGTGCGCGCCTTCGTCATGAGAAACGTCTTCAGGCGTCTCGTCTCTCGAACTTGCGCTCAGCAAGCCGCCGGGGCTTTCCAGGCAGTTTGCGCGCCGTTTCAATACGCGCTGTCGACCACGGCTGGATCGGAAGCCCTGGCGCGCGAGCACAACCTGTCCACGGAGTCGGGAAGCCGCACCACCGTGCTCAGTGTTGATGGCGTCGGCGCCTACGATCACATTGCGCGGGCCGCCATTTTCGAAGGCTTGAGACGAGATGCGCGTTTGGCGGTCCTTATCCCGTTCGTCCGCCTTTTTTATGGCGCGCGTAGCACGTACCTCTACTATGATGCTGACGGGGGTGCCCAGACCGTCGAGTAAGCCGAAGGAGGCGAACAAGGAGACCCACTCATGCCGGGTTTGTATGCGGTCGGTGTGCACTTGGCGGCGAACGCCAGTTTCGCCCAAGGCGAGGAGCTCTACGCCTTCTTGGATGACACCTACTGTATGTCACCACCTCCCCTGACCACACCGCCCAGGCCGTCCGGAGCTTGCAAGCCGCGCTCAAAACGCACGCGAACATCGATGTGCACTTGGGCAAAACCAACATGGAACGCAGCTGGAGAGAAGCCGCCCGGATTGCAAGGGCCGCATATGTGCAGCCGGCTTTGCAATCCGCGCGCACGATGCGCTGTAGCGAGTGGTTGTTACTCCTCCTGTGCGGGGCCACGCACGCCAATTATTGGCTGCCCGCAAGCATGATGCAGCAGTCGCGCGGTGCGTGGCCGATTTGTTGGCCAACGACGTGCCCCACACGCTAGACGCACTGGCGATGCGGCAGGCGGGGCCCCCGCTCGGCGGTCGATGGCCGATGTGCGCGCTCTATGGGCCTCCTGCGCCGACACGCTCCCCACGTTGCAGGCTCGCCACCCCGCATGTGGTGGCGGACATACGCCTGTCTCTCCGCGGCGCCATTCTCCCACTTGCCAAACAGGCCCCCAGCACCGTTGCACTCGCGGAAGCCGCTCGCGCAGCTCCCGCACGGGCTTCGGCTTCAGACACAAACTCTTCTTCAGGACAGTTTGTGGACTCGAAGTGATTGCTCTTCTCGTCGTCAGCGCCTCTGCTCGAGTCCGACCCAGCAGCAGTCTGGCGCCTGGAGGAGCTTTCACCGCTGCTGCTGCTGCTGCTGCTGCCGCCACTGCTGCCACTGCCGCTGCTGCTGCTGCTACTGCTGCTGCTGCTGCTGCTGTTGGTTTTCTTTTGCTCCTCGTCAACGTCCATGTCAGAAGCGAAAGCGGCCGCTGACTGGAGCCGCGCCTACTTCGCCAGAAGTGCACTTGCCAGCCAGCGGCTCCAGCGTATCTCTGTCCTCTGTCAAGTTCACCTCGCTGGAGCTCAGCGTGCCACTCAGGCCTGGGCCGCTGCGTCTTGCTCACACTGCCTTGGCTGACCCCATGCCAAGCACACTTGACCGCAAAGTTCCAAATTCAGCAGATAAACCTTGCACGGGCACTGCCACCGCATCCCTGGCACTGGCCTTTCGCTTTCTGACACCCGCCTCTTTCTGCGCTGCCCTGGCCTGTTGTTCATTTTTGCAGTCAGGCAAGTGGACAGGCTCCCCAACTTCCACACGGAAGGCACCCTTCTTCTTCTCATTCTTCTTTCGCCTCTACTCATCAGGGGCCTCGTCCTGGAACAGGAAAGCGTAATACGACTCTGGCCTCAGATGCGGCACTGCCTGAACTTGATCGCTCAACAAACAGCGCATGTACCACTGGGGGAAATTTTGGGCATCATGTCTGGGGAACCAAAGCTTTCGCTTCCCGTATTGCATGTTCGGGACGGCTGTAAACTGCCCAGAATCTAATGTCATCCAAAACAGAATCCGCGTCCGAAGCACCTGCGACGACTCTGGCTCCGCCAAGTGTTTGCAGCTCAGGGCCCATGTCAGAAGCTTGCTTGAATTTTGCCCGCTTGTCAAGTCTGGTTTTGTAACACATGCCACAGGTCCAGCCACGGGCCTCCAAGTGGAGAATCAATTCCATGCATGACATTGATTGCAATGCATCCTGGATGTCGTCCTGCTTGCGCACTTGAAAAACAGACACAGGACTGCGTAAGAGTGACAGGCGCCATCCACCTGAACTTGCAATGAACTCCACTAAGCCGGAGGCCTCCAGAGTCTTCCTAACCTTGGCAAGGCAGCCATCCGAATCTGCGTCGCTTCCTTGGCCAGGCTGCGGCTGCAGCGACTGAGACTCAGGCTTTGCTGCTGGCTGGTTCAACCACAAAGAAGAAACGCCGCCCTTCGTCGTCGTGCCCATGAACTCTGATCAGCTCGGACACAGCCCTTTCGATTGCCCTGTGATTGTGCGAGTCCACGATGTCGCAGTCAAAAAAATGCTGGAGCGAAACCATTTTCCAGAGCTGCAATGTCCTCAAGTCAGACGATGGCAGCTGTCCTGGAGCTAGTGTCCAAAGTTCGTGAAGAGGCTTGCCGGTGTGTCCCCGCAGGTAGAGTTCGGGCATGCCGTGGCTGGCAGAAGAACGCACATCTGCGGGCCAGAAACACAGCGTCCGTCGGTCTGTCACTTTGCCTTGACCAGGCGCCAAACGATATCTGCCAGGATCTGCGTCAACAAGCTGAAGTATACAATTTGTTTTGCAACCGCGCCGGCGCCTGCGCAGGACAGCTAGTGAGACCGCCTGGCATCTCCAGAGCTCTTGAATTGCGCGCCCAACCTCCCAGCTCGATCACCGCTCACCGCTCATCACTTGGACGTATGGATATGCTCCTCCACCTCAAAAGAAACGCGCTTTCGTCCGGCTTGGTTTCAGGAGAAACGCCCAGACCGGCCCCGGCAGACCCTGCAGCTGCAGCTAAGGCTTCGGCCTCTTCAGCCTCCTCATCGCTGCTCATAAGGCCCTGCAAGCGCAGCAAGTCCGAGCGGTTCTCAGTAGTTCCGTCTGGCTCCGGCCAACCCTGCGGCCCTTGAATGATCTCGTCAAGGTGCCGGAAGGCAATATCCAGCGGGGTGCGGCATCCTGGCCCCAAAGACAACGCAACTCCAGATTCAGGGCCCTCAAGACTGGAATCTTGTACTAGTGTATGCTTGCCGTTGTCAGGGTTTATCACGGCCTCTTCCACGTCCCTAGCATTGTAAAGGGTTTGCGCGTCGCCGTGGCAAATTACACGCGCAAGCTCTGGCCAGGCGAGTCTCTCCACTGTTCGCAATCGTTCATGTCGCCGGAAGATTTCCCGCGACTACTGGGTGAAGCCGGAGCCCGTAATGCTCCACGACTTGCACGGCACGCTTGCCAACAGGGAACTCCTCAGACAGTGGGTCGTCTTCCATCCGCTTTTGCACATCCTCCTATGCCGTAAAAAGCGGGTGCACTGCGCCAGCTTGCGGGCTCAATCCTAAGTATCGCTTGGCAAGCGCATGGTGCGCCTCCACCCATCGTTCGCTCACAGGCATGAACCGTAGAACGGCTGTGAAGAATTGCAAGGGTGGCAACATGTCCAGTGGTGTCGCGCCTGTTGCAAGCTCGCTCAACTGAGCTCGCAACACAGTGCCCTGACGAAAATTCTTAGTCCACGCATGCTTCACGCCAGGCAGCGCTCGCCGCCGGGCTGGGCCATGGCGTCCAGAAGCTGAAGGGCTCTCCGCGCAGCCCTGCGTTGCCTCACGCCTTCACGACTTGGTAGTGATCCAGGCCAGCCAAAACCCAAGTTCGAAGTCTTGCAGCAGCCTGGCTCGCTCACGCATGGACAGTCTGGCTACAGAAGGCTGCGCCAACAGCTCGTGATGACCGTTGCACGACCAAACGGAAGTGGTCACCAACAGCAAAACTTGGGGCTTGAAGGGACGCCATTGGGCAAAAAAATTTACAGGGCTGCCCTGAGCGGGCTGCTCCTGCGCGTCGCGGCTGTCCAGTCTCTCCGGTCGCGCTGCATGCCGCTGGACCCCCTGCAAGGAGATTGGCTGAAAGTGGCACACGCAAGACTCGCTCCACGAGGCCACCAACTCCAGGACCTCGCCATCAAAGGCTAAGGAATAAGCTCAAAAAAATCGGACTTGATGGCAGCGCCCACTGTGGCTACACTCACACGATGCTCATCCGCATGGTCCACTGCGTTGGCATTGGGCGCTCCGTAGGAATATTCTTGCGACGACCAGGCTGCATTCAGAATTCTTTGAACAAGAGGACCTTGCCGCATGCGTGAATGGTCAAGCCCATCTGCCTTCGTAAACTGAAGCAGAAAAACTGCTGACACGGCTCGGCTTTTGGCAAGACGAAGAGCGGGAGCAACCATGCAAGTCTGCATGAACCTGGCTTTCGTGTTTCTTCCGGAAAGCATCTTACAGATCTGCTTCAACTGGGATTGCCACTCACGAGAGTGAAGCAGCACTGTCGGCAGGTTCTTCGTGCAGTTGTGAACAACATGTAGAGCTCCTGCAACAAAGACACTCTTGCGAAAATCCACGGAATAATCCCGTGGCCTTGCCGAGCGCCGTCAGCTCTGGATTCACAGCTCCAGGAAGCCCAAGGATCTCGAATTGGCCCGGGGGCCCCGCCCCTGTCATCAATATCATCGAGCCTCAGGGCCCGGCCCAGGATCTTCAAATTCCAATTGGAAGCCGTGGTCATTGGCGTCATCGGCGGCCTCTGCAATTCGGATCTGGTGTTCGGCTCGGTTGCCGCCGTGTGCGTCCTGGCCATCTTCACTTGCAGGGATTTCTGCAGGGGCTAGGCCTTCGGCAATCGCATCTTCATTGACAATCCAGTTGCCAAAAAGAGCTTGGACGTCAATCTTGCAACGCACGATGGAATTCTCCGTGCCCAAGTCACCAGCGAAACTGACACAACTTCTTAACAGTTGGCACGCTGATGGCCAAGAATGCTAAACCAGACGAGTGCTGTGAATCAAGGCGTGTGCTTTGTGACGAATGCAAGCTTGACCTCCGCCCACAGCGGTGGGGGACATCTGCTGGAACCAAATGGCCATGCTCAGAAGAGTTACCAACGCTTCCTTTTCTTCCTCGCCACAGTCACGCTCACATGCCCGGCTTGCCAATCTCATGTACTCCGCAACGCGTCGCTTTGTGAGGCTGATGGCCGAGCGCGGCCGAGCCAGTCATACCCCTGAGGACGAGCGTCCATTGTCGAATAGGTCAAGTGGATCGGGCCCACAGCCATCGGCCCACTCACTGAGATCATTTGCCAGGCAGCGCGTCACAGCGGAGTGGAGCGCCAACGGCCTAGTAATCGTTTGCTTGGATGGAACCTTTCGATTCTGCTGCATGCACCTCAGGAGGTACTGACAAACCGCAGGGTCTGTGACTCCAAGCGAATCGCATATTCTGAGGCACGGTTCAGATTGCGCATGTTTCTGACATCTCCGCTCAGCAGCATGCACGACACGAGCTGGCTGACGCTGTAGGCACTTGCGTCGGCCTGCCACTGTTGCAGCACGAACATGTCACGCCGAGACTGAAGCCAATCAATAATTTCAATTAGGTTGTCCGGCAACATGTCCTCCTGATTGCGGCCTATCTGCAGTAATTTCAAACCTGCCAGTATGTCCGCCATCCGGCGAAGGTTCCCTCGGTCATGGAGGTCATGACGGTCAGCCTCCAGCCGCTGACGATCATGATCATGGATGAATTGCTGGCCGCAGAAAATGCTGCCCGAAGCCCATGCTGGCGTAAGATGCGAACGACGGCAGCACCAATCTCAGCCAACGCTTCGTGCCAGCCAGGTACGCGTACGAGATCGAAGATCAGAAAAGGGTTCGGGTTGAGCAGCCGCCCTTGCCTGGGCCTGGGCGCCTTCTCTTCTCACATGGACATGTCGCGCGCGTGCTTGGAAGTGACTCGAGGGAGAATGCCGCCAACCACGCACTGATGAGAAAAAAGCTTTCGTGCAATTCTCTCTTGCCAAATTTCACATAAGGACGACTATGCCTTTGTGACTTGGCTACCAGCCATAGCACGAGGAGGGACATTGGGCGGCAAATTAACCTCATGAAGACCTACTGACTACTGACCTCGCCTCGCTGCTTTTGCTTTTATTCCATGGACGTGGATTGATTGGATAAGTGCTGTAAAAGTAAATGTCGACAAGTCCTCAAAGACAGTATAGCGTCTTCGCCCCTGACGGTGGCGTGGCGTGTCGGAGAGATGGCGTGTTCAGCGTCCTCACAATGTTAATTGGACCACTTTGTAGTACATTTGTCGTACTGGACATGCCTCTTCCCAAGCCCTTGCTCAACCACTTCGTAGTATCACTTTAGTACTAGAAACGGGAGCCTCCCCAAATCGTCCGACGTTGGTCGTAACAGCGCCAATAGCAATAAGACGTCGAGCATCTTCGAGATTTTGCTCGGAATCATCGACCCTCTCGGTGATCCCGGCGCGTCAAAGCACTTGCGCATGAAGCGTCCTCAGAAGTCTGCTCGGAATCTACGACGCTCTCGTTGGCGCGTGGAGCGTCCTCGGAATTGACGAACCTCTGGGTGGCCGAAGCTGAGCCACACCACAAATCTTCTTGTTCCGACACACCCTAAAAAAGCCGAGCCGCGCCATTTTTGAAAAAATATTTTCTCCAAAAGTAGATCCTTGCTGCAAATTGTTGTGTTTGCTGCTGATGGCGGCATGGGTAAAGCAGTGGTGGGTGATGTACACATGGCTGGCCTCAATTCAAAAAAACTTGCAGTCATTATTTAGACACGTACTGAAGGGTTTATGTGGAGGATGAAAACATGCGGATTATGGATTGTTTATGCAAGGGGGTCATGTTGATTTGTGGGAGATGCAAGCAGTGGGCAGCGCATTCATGCATGGACCATACCAACGAAGCCCAAACGCCAAACATAGACGACCGCAGCGGCAAAGCTCGAGGCCGCACAGGCACCAAAGGCTTTTTAGCGCCAGAGGTGGCCTTGGGCATGGTGTATAGTGTCAGGGCCGATTTGTGGTCCACCGGGGTGACACTGTTCCTTTGCTTGGCTGGTCGCATGCCCATCGCGGATGACATGGTGGTTCCCCGACCACATTTGGTCAACTGGCGGCTCGTTGGGCAGTTGGACCACCGCAGTGTTCAAGTGCTGAGCCGCCTTTTGGCCTATGAAGCTTCGCGCTTCAGTGCTGCTGCTGCGCAGCAACACCCCTGGACGCGCTGGGGCGCCCAGCGTCGCCGCCAGGTGCGGTTCTAATAACAGGGACCCACATCTACAGCATCACTCGTCATTCTAAAGTACTGTTGTAGAGGTTCCGTGCGCGTCTGCGCCGCTCCGGACAGTGGTCCTGTCTGATGATACGTAGTTACGTAGCTGTAGGTTTAACGTGTGTTTATTGAAGCAATGGTTTTCTGTGTGGATTGGTCTTGGCCAATGGCATGTATTCCCAGGGTTGCGCGTTGCTGAATCAATGACTCCAGCCTTCGTTGTATGTTAGAGCCGCATTTTGACAGTGGTCCTGGCCAATGACATGCATTTTGTCGGTTAAGGTTGTTATGCATTGCTCTAGCTTCCTCGCATGTTGGGGCCACAGTCTGCCAGTAGTCCTAGCCAATAATGATTATGTGCTGGTGCTGATGCATTGCTTTAGCTTTCCTTGTAGGTTGAGAAACATTTTGACAGTGGCGATGCTCTGTGTCTTGTAGGTATTGCACAGGCAAATCATGCATTACTCCAGCTTCCTGTGTTGGGACAAAATGGCAATAGTCCTAGCTGCTGATGTCCGTTCGGACACGCGTGTGTCCCATAGAATCCATAGAAGGCGGGTGTCAATCGACAGTTTCATAGTTGGATTTATACCCGTCCTACAATGAGCTTGGCAAGAACAGGCTCCGCATCTTGAATATGACCGTCTCATGTTGCTTTTGCATGCCATGTAGTGGGTTTTAGGTTGCGGTCTGAAGGAATCCATACCTTGAAAGCACCATGAGCATTACCGATCGATCACCCTGAAGGTTCTGTGTGCATGGGGCCCACATCCTGACATTGGTCCTAGCCAAAACTGCGTATTTGTAAGCCTTGCCTCTTGGCAACTGCCCGGGCACATCGGACATGAGTGAAACTACGCCGATTCGTTCAGATATTAGCTCGTTTTCCCGGCACTTTCATACGTGGTCAGGCGGTCCACAAACGGGCCCCCTCGCCGGTCGAAGTGACGCCAGCCAACACCGAGGCTGTTTGCTCGCTGCCTGCTGCGAGACATGTTGTTGGCTTTGTGGACCGTTGCAGGCGTACTTATGGAAACCGATGATTTGTCAAAATCTTTTTCAGATGCATCTTTCTGCTCCGGTTTGGGGCCTATTTGAATTCAGACATCTGCAAACCTGATTCTGATGATGTTTAGCGCAGGTC